ACCAATAAAAACAATGAACAAGTTAAATAAGCGTCAGCAGTCAACGTCGTTCTCTTGATAACGACCGATTATAATGTCGGGGAGAAGAAGGAAGACGATATCGATCGTTCATTCTACGTGGTGACCGCCTGTCACGACCAGACGAGAAAGAACGAGAACGCCGTCCATTACGTCGCGGAGTAACCGATCGTCTGAAAAGTTAAAAGTGAACTCATTTGCGAGAATACAGTTACACAAAAATAGTGATAAATGATGCATGCAAGCGGACACCAATAATTAAAGAGAGAAGTAGAACAAATATAACAAGATAAATTGAAATACAGAGAGAATAATTAACTAGCTTTACCTACACTCATTACCAAGTAAAACACAATAATCAATACACACAGTACACTAAACATATAAAAACTTCACCGTCGGGAAATTCTTCATACAGACTAACAAGCATCCACATAAGATTGGTTTGCATATAATACGCAAATACTACATAATCGCCACTCATCGTAGGCTAAATCTTAATAGTATACTTCTCATCCACAACGCTTTCTATTTGTCATCTCATCTATATGGGCTGTCCAAATGTCAGGCAATCACCTGGTCAAACCCAAACGAAAAATCCCTAATTAATCAAATCAATTTGTATGGAAAACAATTATAGAAACGGTACTAGAGGCACGTGAATACCATTAGCGACCGTCTACTTCAATATAGCATTTTAGGAGACCAGAACAATGCCCTGGTACTATGAAAATGCACAAAAATCTAACATCTGAATCTGCAACTTTGTAGGAGAGATTCACAGTAGACAGTAGTTTTGCCAACAAATCAATCCTTTCAATATAGCATTCCTAAAACACCCGACTACAGTCAGGCTCTAGCGGAATGCACAAAAAGAATCATGTTTCAATATGTAGAAGCAATTTTAACGGGATGCGATGCACACCGCCAGTGATTGCTACGTTCATTTTGGCATCATTGAAGCACTAGGCTTGTTAACCAGCCTTCGTCAGATGCCATTCACTAAACATCTTTATCATTTGGTTCTACTACATATACGTGTATACTCCAGTTCCTGTTACAGCACTACACACTGGCCATTCTCCATAGTTCCACATCAATTCGCCTCCTCACAGGCGTGCAACGGCAACTCTTACGAGATATAACGCGCTCCCCTCAAAAGCCACCAGAAGATTCCTGCGAAATCCAATATCACTTCCGTGACGCTTCGTTAAGCAGGCATAAATCCAACAGACCAAAGCCCATAAATGATTTCATGCCACATCAATTCACGCCACTGAATAAAAACTTCTCCTGCATTTTCTCACTTTCCCGTCAACGCCCGCTTACCATCCTTCTTCTATTACTACTTATATGGTATCCGCCCACAAATTCATTGCTCAATCAAACTGTCTTGACGTAAAAAAATAGCAACCTCATTAATCGAAGTCTAACATTTAGCAATTGTACCCTTAAAAAGAATAACACGTTGCACAAATCCGAAAGGCATGATACCCACTTGAAACACAAAATGGATGACAACCAGTTATCAATTCATCAGCTGAGCACAAACAACATGTCACCACCAATACTGTGGGGCACCAACTGTTAACTCTGTTTACTACACAAACACAACAATACATTATTCCATTATCTCACCAATTGTAAAAACACCGGCGCAGCTTCTCTATACATCATCAAAACCTAACTAAGTCCCAACCGCGGCCACAACGCAATTCAACAATCACCCCTCAACAACGGTCCTCCTCCTACCAATCGTACAACTCAGTGCAGTGAGACATCACTGAACATGACTCAGAATAAAAGCCAGTGGTGATTATTCGGTAGTCCTATTTGACGTTCCTCCGAAACTTGAACTGTATCTCTTAAAGTCCTCATTCTCGTCGTGACTACAGGACTTCACCAGCCCTTTTGTCTCTTTGAACACCTATCTTCACTTCGTATCATCTGGTGCGTTTCCTAGCACTCAATTGTGCCAAACACGTTACATGTCACAAATAAATAATACGAGCAACATACACATAATCAAATCTCCACAGACACCCATTTGGATGAAAGAAGGTTAATTCCCAACAAATGAACGACTATATGACTCAGTAGGAACTTACAACCAACTAACATCACTCTACTACATTGAACCCGAGTGAAAACTGCACGATACTTACAAGTGGTTGACACCATCACTCAAACTAACAGTCGGTAGGACAAACACATAATTTTCCCCACTCCCTCCTTCTATTCACGATCTCGCGTGTCGAATCCGCCGACTTATACACTAACAAAACAATTCCTGATCAACGTGAAACACATGAACGCACAATGCAAATTCTTGCGAAAATCTAACACTTCTCTTGCAGCACAATCCAAAACAAAATTCTCAACACATACATACCTGCCTTCATTAATCTAACAGCACTTCGGTTCGTATACACAAACCGTCTGACATATTCATTATTCACCTAACCCTATCGGTGACTACACTAATGACCACACCTAACTACAACCGACCTGAACACATACCCATATAATAACACTGGGTTAGATAGAACCACTCAATGCTAAACTAAACAATATTAGACATCGTTCACATCACTTGCGGCTATCAAACACTAGATTGTTCAGCAACATTTGACAGGCAAACGCTCAATCACATCACATATAACACCATAGACACCTCATTACACTTTAGGCGCAATACACTTAACATTGGACCAGTCAGTCACACTCCACTTCCATGTCATTGTAACAACTGGCACTCATATGCAAGCAACATTATCGAATCACACTCTGCACAATTTAGGGTGAGTAAATCCCATAAACTGATTGAACTCAGAAGAACAATCACCAATCAATCAAATCAATTTGTATGGAAAACAATTGTAGAAACGGTACTAGAGGCACGTGAATACCATTAGCGACCGTCTACTTCAATATAGCATTTTAGGAGACCAGAACAATGTCCTGGTACTATGAAAATGCAATACCAATATCCAACCAGGTTTACAGAGACTCGTAATAAACATAAGTACATGCTACTGCAAAAACTCAAGGATGGGAAACGTCAATGACTATTGTTTATTTTAATCTAGCACTGACCGAAACTAGAACCATACAACACTCCACACAACACCCCATAGGGAACAAACAATGTAGGAGCTATTCGGGAAGCAAAATTGCCTCCACAAATACCCTCCTTTTAATGTAGCATCCTTCTGACACCCGACCAGAGTCAGGCTCTAATAGAATGCGAGGTGAATTCCAACCACATTTCTAAATCTAACAAAACTGTTCGCAACCAGTACACGACTACACAATCCGGCTATGTGAGTCAAGCTTACACTTACCAAACCAAAGATATCACATAGAACACAAACAATGGAAACCCTAGTGGCCGGGATACAATTTTGCGCAGTCTACTACTTCATACTTAAGCGACTGGTGCTGCAACTGCGTAATAGAAACATTAACGACAAATAAAAGATGAACAAAAGTAAACCTTCCAGGCACCATCTATCTTTTCAATCGACACTTAATACCGATGTGCATCGTCGAAACAACCAATTTATCCCAACACAATAGACCCTACCCAACGCACCATTGTGATCACTGACTTGTCTCGACATTTATACATGCAATCTGCATATATCTATGATAATTCGTTACGTTCAGTGCTGGAAACCCATTTGACAATTTATCCTGAAGAGATCACCTCACAGTCAACACCCGAACATGAAACCGACACATCAGTCAAGAAACACTGTGCTAAGCACCTGTTCTTTGTTGGTGACCTACAACAAACTGTCCTCGTAGACAAACTCCAGTCTGATCTTTATTCGATGGAATATAGCATTTACACACTTCCAAAATGGATATATCCCACCGTCTTTATCGATGTTCAAGCCAGTTCGCATAAAATTCCGTAAATTTAGACTAAGAAACTAATGAGCATCAACATTTAAATACATAAAGCATATTATCAGGCTGCTGGATAAGCCATCAAACACACGAAGACCTCCTTAAACTAAGCATATGAAGTATGTAGTGTAAACCATTTATTAAGCACAGGTTTATAAACTCGACTTTGAGTCGCATTGTTTGTGTGAAAGCTAATGATACTAACCGAATTCCCCAAACCGAGGTAGGTGAGGTGGGGTTAGAGCCCGCAACTTATCGGTTGATATATACTTACAACACTGAAACAACCATGTTCAGCGCATTGTCATAACATTGCATTGGAATCACGACGACTAATACGATACAATACAATACGTTACATACCCAACGCACAATAGAAGGCAGACGTGAAATGCCTTACCGAAGGCGCAAATTCTTCGGACACTTCATAATACGGTTATCTGTTATATATTTTGGAAAATGTTTTATCAATTACTCCAGTGGCTTACCGTACGCATCAGGATAACCGGAATCTAGGCCCGAAGAACGGGGTTAGAACCACCACTTTTCGGCAATCCTGCTGCAGTCATGTAACCACCCCCACAGCTCACACACCCACCAGCATGAACAACCTTGGTTGTCAACGCCAAATGTCCGCAAGCAAATTCTGTTCACGCTTTGAGAATTGGCTATATTGGTTACTCTGTAGAGCAACCTTTAGACCTACACCGACTAATCCCCATAACACAATGTGTGAACAGCTACAGCACCACAGCAAAACCTGCTAGTCTCACCATCAGACAGCCGCTTTGCCGGAAAGATTTAACTGCACACCAGCACAACTATGTTTCCAGATTAACAGCTAAACTCCGAGTTAAAAATCTGCAAACAGCTAACTGATCAAAACTGTCTCGCCTGACACTGCGAACAACAGCAATCTCCCATGTATCAGCATAGCATACAGGCAATCCATATCGGCAGGATATTAGCTGATAAGAAAAGCAAAAGGCTTAGTTAGATGATAGATTCATGATATATATATGTATAAACCAATAAAAACAATGAACAAGTTAAATAAGCGTCAGCAGTCAACGTCGTTCTCTTGATAACGACCGATTATAATGTCGGGGAGAAGAAGGAAGACGATATCGATCGTTCATTCTACGTGGTGACCGCCTGTCACGACCAGACGAGAAAGAACGAGAACGCCGTCCATTACGTCGCGGAGTAACCGATCGTCTGAAAAGTTAAAAGTGAACTCATTTGCGAGAATACAGTTACACAAAAATAGTGATAAATGATGCATGCAAGCGGACACCAATAATTAAAGAGAGAAGTAGAACAAATATAACAAGATAAATTGAAATACAGAGAGAATAATTAACTAGCTTTACCTACACTCATTACCAAGTAAAACACAATAATCAATACACACAGTACACTAAACATATAAAAACTTCACCGTCGGGAAATTCTTCATACAGACTAACAAGCATCCACATAAGATTGGTTTGCATATAATACGCAAATACTACATAATCGCCACTCATCGTAGGCTAAATCTTAATAGTATACTTCTCATCCACAACGCTTTCTATTTGTCATCTCATCTATATGGGCTGTCCAAATGTCAGGCAATCACCTGGTCAAACCCAAACGAAAAATCCCTAATTAATCAAATCAATTTGTATGGAAAACAATTATAGAAACGGTACTAGAGGCACGTGAATACCATTAGCGACCGTCTACTTCAATATAGCATTTTAGGAGACCAGAACAATGCCCTGGTACTATGAAAATGCACAAAAATCTAACATCTGAATCTGCAACTTTGTAGGAGAGATTCACAGTAGACAGTAGTTTTGCCAACAAATCAATCCTTTCAATATAGCATTCCTAAAACACCCGACTACAGTCAGGCTCTAGCGGAATGCACAAAAAGAATCATGTTTCAATATGTAGAAGCAATTTTAACGGGATGCGATGCACACCGCCAGTGATTGCTACGTTCATTTTGGCATCATTGAAGCACTAGGCTTGTTAACCAGCCTTCGTCAGATGCCATTCACTAAACATCTTTATCATTTGGTTCTACTACATATACGTGTATACTCCAGTTCCTGTTACAGCACTACACACTGGCCATTCTCCATAGTTCCACATCAATTCGCCTCCTCACAGGCGTGCAACGGCAACTCTTACGAGATATAACGCGCTCCCCTCAAAAGCCACCAGAAGATTCCTGCGAAATCCAATATCACTTCCGTGACGCTTCGTTAAGCAGGCATAAATCCAACAGACCAAAGCCCATAAATGATTTCATGCCACATCAATTCACGCCACTGAATAAAAACTTCTCCTGCATTTTCTCACTTTCCCGTCAACGCCCGCTTACCATCCTTCTTCTATTACTACTTATATGGTATCCGCCCACAAATTCATTGCTCAATCAAACTGTCTTGACGTAAAAAAATAGCAACCTCATTAATCGAAGTCTAACATTTAGCAATTGTACCCTTAAAAAGAATAACACGTTGCACAAATCCGAAAGGCATGATACCCACTTGAAACACAAAATGGATGACAACCAGTTATCAATTCATCAGCTGAGCACAAACAACATGTCACCACCAATACTGTGGGGCACCAACTGTTAACTCTGTTTACTACACAAACACAACAATACATTATTCCATTATCTCACCAATTGTAAAAACACCGGCGCAGCTTCTCTATACATCATCAAAACCTAACTAAGTCCCAACCGCGGCCACAACGCAATTCAACAATCACCCCTCAACAACGGTCCTCCTCCTACCAATCGTACAACTCAGTGCAGTGAGACATCACTGAACATGACTCAGAATAAAAGCCAGTGGTGATTATTCGGTAGTCCTATTTGACGTTCCTCCGAAACTTGAACTGTATCTCTTAAAGTCCTCATTCTCGTCGTGACTACAGGACTTCACCAGCCCTTTTGTCTCTTTGAACACCTATCTTCACTTCGTATCATCTGGTGCGTTTCCTAGCACTCAATTGTGCCAAACACGTTACATGTCACAAATAAATAATACGAGCAACATACACATAATCAAATCTCCACAGACACCCATTTGGATGAAAGAAGGTTAATTCCCAACAAATGAACGACTATATGACTCAGTAGGAACTTACAACCAACTAACATCACTCTACTACATTGAACCCGAGTGAAAACTGCACGATACTTACAAGTGGTTGACACCATCACTCAAACTAACAGTCGGTAGGACAAACACATAATTTTCCCCACTCCCTCCTTCTATTCACGATCTCGCGTGTCGAATCCGCCGACTTATACACTAACAAAACAATTCCTGATCAACGTGAAACACATGAACGCACAATGCAAATTCTTGCGAAAATCTAACACTTCTCTTGCAGCACAATCCAAAACAAAATTCTCAACACATACATACCTGCCTTCATTAATCTAACAGCACTTCGGTTCGTATACACAAACCGTCTGACATATTCATTATTCACCTAACCCTATCGGTGACTACACTAATGACCACACCTAACTACAACCGACCTGAACACATACCCATATAATAACACTGGGTTAGATAGAACCACTCAATGCTAAACTAAACAATATTAGACATCGTTCACATCACTTGCGGCTATCAAACACTAGATTGTTCAGCAACATTTGACAGGCAAACGCTCAATCACATCACATATAACACCATAGACACCTCATTACACTTTAGGCGCAATACACTTAACATTGGACCAGTCAGTCACACTCCACTTCCATGTCATTGTAACAACTGGCACTCATATGCAAGCAACATTATCGAATCACACTCTGCACAATTTAGGGTGAGTAAATCCCATAAACTGATTGAACTCAGAAGAACAATCACCAATCAATCAAATCAATTTGTATGGAAAACAATTGTAGAAACGGTACTAGAGGCACGTGAATACCATTAGCGACCGTCTACTTCAATATAGCATTTTAGGAGACCAGAACAATGTCCTGGTACTATGAAAATGCAATACCAATATCCAACCAGGTTTACAGAGACTCGTAATAAACATAAGTACATGCTACTGCAAAAACTCAAGGATGGGAAACGTCAATGACTATTGTTTATTTTAATCTAGCACTGACCGAAACTAGAACCATACAACACTCCACACAACACCCCATAGGGAACAAACAATGTAGGAGCTATTCGGGAAGCAAAATTGCCTCCACAAATACCCTCCTTTTAATGTAGCATCCTTCTGACACCCGACCAGAGTCAGGCTCTAATAGAATGCGAGGTGAATTCCAACCACATTTCTAAATCTAACAAAACTGTTCGCAACCAGTACACGACTACACAATCCGGCTATGTGAGTCAAGCTTACACTTACCAAACCAAAGATATCACATAGAACACAAACAATGGAAACCCTAGTGGCCGGGATACAATTTTGCGCAGTCTACTACTTCATACTTAAGCGACTGGTGCTGCAACTGCGTAATAGAAACATTAACGACAAATAAAAGATGAACGAAAGTAAACCTTTAGACACCATCTATCTTTTCAATCGACACTTAATACCGATGTGCATCGTCGAAACAACCAATTTATCCCAACACAATAGACCCTACCCAACGCACCATTGTGATCACTGACTTGTCTCGACATTTATACATGCAATCTGCACATATCTATGATACTTCGTTACGTTCAGTGCTGGAAACCCATTTGACAATTTATCCTGAAGAGATCACCTCACAGTCAACACCCGAACATGAAACCGACACATCAGTCAAGAAACACTGTGCTAAGCACCTGTTCTTTGTTGGTGACCTACAACAAACTGTCCTCGTAGACAAACTCCAGTCTGATCTTTATTCGATGGAATATAGCATTTACATACTTTTGTTTACTCAATCGACACTCAATGCTGACGTACATAGATACACTTAACTTTGGCTATTATTCAGCTGGATACAGGATTTATGCAGTTGTAAAATTTATCTTTAGTAGTAACTTTATCCATTACCATTTCACTCATTTACAATCGCGTCAAATTTTTAGCAGGGAAATTTTGGTATCGACATCTATGTACATAAAATGGCATCTCATGTGGGGATATATAGTACTTTTTATCGATATTACCGACAATTCATGGATGATTTCTAGGATAATCTCGAATCCAATTCTTTTCGTTAGGTCGCTATGAACGCGAAGTAGAATGTTACTTGTGACTTAGGGTATTGTACACAAAAGCAGTTTTAACAAAATGATTCTTACCTTCGACGGTTTGGAGTTGGTCGACCATATTTTGCTCTTTGGACTCGGACTTCTCTCCCATCTACCTTATGGCCATCCATACCGCGTATGGCACAGTCAGCCTCGCGGTCAGTGCAGTATCGAACGAAAGCAAATCCTCGACTCTCGAAAGTATAGGGATCTCTAGGTATGTAGATATCACCTGTGACGAAAGGTGTATAAATGAAGTTTCACAAGAGGGCGTGTTTTAGGACACGCGTTACTTACCAACTTCACCGAATCGGCTGAAAACTCTTCGCAAGTCATCAATAGTTGTTCTGTATGCCAAGTTATCAACTTTCAACGATACCATCCCATCGATTCTTGGTGGGGATCGACCGTACCTGTTCATAGTTCAGAGTTCTGAAACCGGATGTCAATGACTAGTGACCTAGCTAACCATTGATAAAAACAAGGTCATGCTATAAAGCATATTGAAACATATTTTGATACTTTCTTATAATATGGTCTAAAGAATCCTGCAATTCGAAATAGATCGCTATATCGGATGGCTATGGATGGAATGCTGAAAACTGTCGTTTGACGAGCCTTCATGTCCATATACCTATATCCCCGGATTGAGATCTAGGTACATAGTACAATTCCTAAGAATGCATGAAGTTCACTCCTTAAAGACTCCCTTGGACAAATAGTAGAGAATCCCAAGACTCGACAACTTGTAATGATTAGAAGTTGTCTGTACTGTTTGACACAAACATTAAGTTCACCCATCAGTATACTTATTCGTAATAAGGAGCCTGACAGAACATAAGAATGTCAAATGCAATAATTCAATTCCATCGACCAAACTGACCTCAGTAGGGCGATTAATTCGAAAGCCTTATATGGGTATCTTTATGGTGTTCCTTTGTTTATTTGTCTATCCATTTATCTTTAAGTTATATTCCACCATTATATTGATCTACAAACATTTCAGACGCGTTGAATAAGTGGCAGACTGAGCTGTTTGTACTCTTTGTTGCAGTACAGGCTAAACTACTCTAATGAAATCCTGGGCTTCATTTTATTACAATATCCTATTTCCGGTGTTTCCTGATTGTTAGTGACTATAGAACCATGAATGTAATACTGTCACGACTTCTTTAGAATAGATCAAGTTTCCTCCCCCTGAACTAACTTAGCTAATGGCAAATTCCAAGGCCTAACTACTCATGAAGAGTAGAAGGTGGGCTATCTCATTAGCTTTCTGTGTTCCGCCTCTGATTTATGGGTGGCCCCCTAAGATATTGTCCTAGCACAGAGCACTTGTAAGCATTTTTTTTAAAAAAAATGAGTCAGTTTTGGAACGTTTCATGGTACTAAAAGGTCGTCTATGAGTCACGTATAATTAAATAAAGAAGGATCCAGAGTTTTAATGCATCCTACATAAAGCGTGGGCTTGAATTTCCAATTTGGTTACGTGATCAGTTTGCGTATATGATCTACTGTATTCTTAACCATTCTAGAGTGGTGGTGAAAACGCTATATTTTCATACTCTTAGTTAGGCTGAATGTAACTTGAGAATCATACAAAAAGTTGTACTTTCGAATCAACCACAATGTACTTCAAAATTACCGGTATAAGGTTTACTCTAAGGGCTTTTCATCACAATTAGCACGCGATCTTAGATCATAGGAAGTCAAGACGCCTAAATACGTCCGCTCAACAACACTTTTATAAATACATTGCCTATCTTGCATGTGTAGCTTGTTCCAGATACCAAATGAACTACTTTACACTTTAAAAAACTCAAAGCTGGTCCATTAAGTTTGAGTCATCTACCGAGGCGCTATCTTATTATTCTGGTAGCAAACTTATCTACAAAACTCCGAGTCATCAGTAAGGCAATCATTCAGAAGACACCCATCGGAAATGATCATTTCTATGAATTAGAAAGGTCTTAGAGCGGAGTTCTTGAGGACCCTAATAAAGCATCCTATAGCCCGAAACAGTTAATAATTAACCCTAAAATTAATGAGCCAATTATTTAGGTACTACTTTACCCAACTTATAATTGATGACTGAACACCTGCATGTTTGAACTTATTGACAAGATATGCATGATTGTCTCCAAGTACTCATAGTGCATTAGCTTCACCCTGTCATTAAGACCGAGTATGTTACTCCATCCATCAACCATTACCAGAAGATTTATGGTTGTATCGCAATCTTTCCGTGAACCTTGCTGTTTCATTTCCAGTTTCCACCTGGGAGGGGTTTTGGGACGCATGGCTTGTAATAGTCCTGACTATTGGGTGTCGCAGTTGGCTCGACTTTCTTTTTAACGCGCTCAAAAATAGAACCTCAACCACGTGTTCAGATAGATAGTTCTGCCTGTTGATGATCACGCGGGAAAATTGTTGATCACCTAACAAGTAAACTTTTCTGTTTGAGAACTTTGAGCATCTTTACAAACCCTCGATTTTGTAGATAAAACGGGACGGCACGTCATACACACTGGTAATGTTTAGTCTAGTCAGCCTATACGCAGCAATAAATGTGGGTAGAGACAGTCGGTGCAGCAACCTCCTAAACAGTAGTATTATAATGCAGAGTCGGGGAACACAAACAAATCCGTGGGCAAGAGTACATGTAGATTTCTCCGGTCCCTTAAACGGGAAACAGTACTTGGTGATTGTTGATGCCTTCTCAAAATGGTCAGAAGTCCACTACATGAAGTCTCTTTCGACAAAAGCTACTATCAAGCAACTGAGACAAGTATTCAGCTGCTTTGGGTGTCCAGATGTATTGGTGGCTGATAATGGACCATAGTTTACCTCCACTGAATTTTCGAAGTTCTGCGTCGCCAACGCCGTCAGGCATGTAAAGACACCCCCATACCGCCCTCAGTCAAACGGTCTAGTCGAGAGGTTCGTTGTTGCGTTTCAAAAAGAGCACTCTTTAAAACAAAGGGAGAAGGGGAAATAGAAGAGATGATTCAAAGATTTCTACAACCCTACCTAGCAGCACACAATCCAGCAACAAATAATCAAGAAAGTCCAGGAAAAGCAATTTTTGGAAGATTAGAATACCTATAGAGCAAATGAAACCAAAACCTAGAACCAACCTCCGCAAGAACAAACGAATGGAACAGCAATTAAACAAGCGGCATGGTGCACTGCCCAGAAGGTTTAAGGTGGGACAAGCGGTAATAACAAGAGATTTCACGGCAGTAAAGCTAACCTGTAAGTTTGTCATAATAATACGGAAAAAGGGAAGGTTATCTACGAAGTAAAAGTTGGGCAAAAGATATGGGTGCGACATGCAAACCAGATACAGCCAACCAGAAAAGAGCGGGAGACAGGAAATGCTATAAAGTCGAATATACCAATAAATACACTAACTGAGTCGGATAATGAAATTAAAAATGACCCGAATAATAACAAGACGTATACAACAGTCCCAAGGAGGTCGCAGAGCATCAGGCGGAAACCTAGTCGAATAAAAATAAATCCTAAGGATCATTATTATCTCTAATGCTTCAAAAAAGGGAGGTCTTATAACCCAGTGAAGATTAAGTTACAGGTAACTTCCGAGGACTGTTAATGGACCAATATTCTATTAATATTCTTATTGTATAATTATTCAATAATTACATTATGTGTATTTATATTCCCCTTATTATAAGCTTTATTTTGACCTATAATTTATTACTATACGATTTATGGTTCTTAATCTATGTTCAGTCTATTAATTACCATCTCCCACGTTCACAGCCACTTTTTGGCTTATTTGTGTACACATGTTATTTTCTATTTTATGATACGTTGTGGTCTGTCTGATTGGTGTATAAACAGAGTATGTTTGAAATACATAACTCATATCGCGGAAGCTGGTATTGCGTTTTTTGGACTCAAGCAGATGGGCTAGAAGGACCTCGGACCAACAAGGCGCTAGACTGCCCACGCCGGTTGAACGTCATTGGTTGACATAGAGTGAAGATTTACTTACTTACTTACTTACTTACTTACTTACTTACTTACTTACTTACTTACGCCTGTTACTCCCAATGGAGCATAGGCCGCTGACCAGCATTCTCCAACCCACTCTGTCCTGGGCCTTCTTTTCTAGTTCCATCCAATTCTTGTTCATTTTTCTCATGTCTATTTCCATTTCTCGGCGTAATGTGTTCTTTGGTCTTCCTCTTTTCCTTTGACCTTCAGGATTCCATGTGAGGGCTTGTCTTGTGACGCAGTTGGGTGCTTTCCTCAATGTGTGTCCTATCCACTTCCAGCGCTTCTTCCTGATTTCTTCCTCCACTGGGATCTGGTTTGTTCTCTCCCACAGTACGTTGTTGCTAATAGTGTCCGGCCAATGGATCTGAAGTATTTTGCGTAGACAACTGTTAATAAACACCTGTATTTTCTGGATGATGGCTTTCGTAGTTCTCCAGGTTTCTGCCCCATACAGTAGAACTGTCTTGACATTTGTATTGAAAATCCTGACCTTGGTGTTGGTTGACAGTTGCTTTGAGTTCCAGATGTTCCTCAGTTGTAAATATGCTGCTCTTGCTTTGCCGATCCGCGCCTTCACATCTGCATCAGATCCACCCTGTTCATCAATGATGCTGCCCAAATACGTAAAGGTTTTTACATCTTCCAAATCTTCTCCGTCAATTGTGATTGGATTGGTGCATTCTGTGTTGTATCGGAGAATCCTGCTTTTCCCTTTGTGTATATTGAGACCTACTGCTGCTGAGGCTGCTGCCACACTGTTCGTCTTCTCCTGCATCTGTTGTTGCGTTTGGGATAGAAGGGCCAGATCGTCTGCGAAGTCTAGATCATCCAACTGCATCTAGATGTCCATTGTATCCCGTGCTTCCCTTCAGACGTTGACGTCTTCATGATCCAGTCGATCACCAGGAGAAAGAGAAAGGGTGAGAGTAAGCAACCTTGCCTAACACCGGTCTTCACTTCGAACGACTTTGTCAACTGTCCTCCATGCACGATTTTGCAGTGTAATCCATCATATGAATTCTGTATGATATTGACTATCTTCTGAGGCACGCCGTAGTGTCGAAGAAGTTTCCATAGTGTTGTTCTGTCCACGCTATCAAATGCCTTTTCGTAGTCAATGAAGTTGATGTAGAGTGATGAATTCCATTCAATTGATTGTTCCACAATGATCCGTAGAGTTGCGATTTGGTCTGTACACGATCTATCCTTACGGAATCCTGCCTGTTGGTCACGAAGTTGGGCGTCTACGCAGTCCTTCATCCTGTTTAACAATACCCTGTTGAAGACTTTTCCCGGTATTGAGAGAAGAGTGATGCCCCTGTAGTTATCACACTTGCTGAGATCGCCTTTCTTCGGTATTTTGATCAGAAGTCCTTCTTTCCAGTCTGTTGGTAC